ATAATTCTCTTCAATCACTTTCAAAAAAATCCTAAAGAAAAATTTAAGAAGAGAAAAGAATTTTCGTTATGTGAATGCCTATAGTCCTACAGAGAAACAAAAAAACTTTCAAGAACATTCGCCACGGAGACCGTACTCAGTGAAATTCAAATGAAAAGCACAATAAAGGTATCTCTGCATACCCACCCATCTGGCAAAATAAAAAATAGACAACAATAACTGTTGGCAAGGCTGAAAAACAGCTGGAACTATTATACATAGCTTGTAGGATTACAAAATGGCACAACATCTTGGGAAATTATTTGGTACTTTATTTATTTGTTTGTTTGAGACAGGTCTCACTATGTAGCCCTAGCTAGCCTGGAACCCTCTATAAAGACCAAGCTGACCTTCAACTCAGAGAGATCCTCCTGCCTCTGCCTCCGGACTGCTAGGATTAAAGGGGAGTGCCACCATACCCAGTTGGTAGTTTATTTTAAATTAAATTCATAGTAGTTTAAATTATAGTAGTTTCTTATAAAGTCAAAATGTAGTAATTGTAAAATCTACCCCAAAGATTTATCGTCCTCTTTTTTTTTTTTTTTTTTTTTTTTTTTTTAAAAAAAAAAAAAAAAAAAAAAAAAAATCTACCCCTTCTACTCATAAATGTTTACCTCAGAAATGAAAATATGACCTGTACATTAAAGTTCACTGTTTTTATTTATAAAAATATTTATAAAAAGCCCAAACTAGAAATACCAAATTCCCAGATCACAGGTGAGTGGGTAAATAAATACATAAATAAATAATAAATGAATGGTATATAAATATAACATTCAGCCAGGCCTGGTGGCGCATGCCTTTAGTCCCAGCACTTGGGAGACAGAGGCAGGCGGGTCTCTGTGAGTTCAAGGCCAGCCTGGTTTACATAGTGAGTTCCAGGATAGCTGGGGCTACAGGGAGACCCTGTCTCAAAAAGACCAAAAAAAAAAAAAACAAATAAACACAAAATTCATAAATAAAAAAGAACAAAAATGCTAACACATACAATAAGATGAATCCCAAAAACAGTATCTTGGGGGAATGGGGAGGTTGGGGCTATAGCTCAGATGGTAGAGTTCTTAACTAATATATAAAAAGCTCTAGGTTCCAGCCCCAGCACCACATAAAACTGATTACAGGTTATAAAACTGGTTACAGGTTAGTGGGTGTGGTGTCTCACACCTTTAATCCCAGTAGTCAGGAGGTAGAGGCAGGTGGATCTCTGTGAGTTCAAGGCCAGCCTGGTCTCAATAGAGTTCCAGGACAGCCAGGGCTACATAGTGAGGCTTTGCCAAAAAAAGAAAAAAGAAAGGAGGAAAGGGAGGGAAGGAGGGAGGAAGAGAGGAAGAGAGGAAAAGAAAAGAAAGAAACTGATTACAAGTAATGCACCTATCATCCCAGTACTCTGGAGGTAGGGACAGGAAGATCAGGAGTTCAAGATATTCTCGGCGGTATAAAAGACTTCAAGGCCAGTCTGGGCTACAAGACACTGTCTGGACAACAAAACGTCTAAGGATTGTCATCAGCATTTATAAAAAGTCCAAGAAGTTCATGCAAGTGTTTACTAGATTCAGTGAGAACTCCCAATTTGGATGTCATGACCAAACACCTCAGAAACACTGATATGCTCAGCATCACAATGCCCAACCCTTACAACTACCAACTTGCGGCAGGTAACTATGAAAACAGAAGGGTAGCCAGGATGGCACTGTCCTTTTCTGTAACAGCACGGAATCCAAAAGCAGTGTGATGGACATTAATCCATCACCTTCAATAAAGCAAAGAAAGCAAACTCAAAACTGTAAGATGCTGTTTTCATTGATAAATGTCAACCTGATACATATCAATTCTCTAAGAGATAACAAGGGTCTGGACAACCAGAGGCACAGGCGGGAGTGCAACTCTGCACAAGCTCTCCAGAGGACAGCTTAGCCTCCACAGATGTACAGATATATGCTTAATTTACATTCTTTTACCCAGAATTTCTACTTCTGAGTGTCCTTCTCAAAGGGCACAATGGCTAGGCACAGTGGTGCACACCTTAAAACCCAGTCTTAAATCCCGGTCCTCAGAGATTGAGGCCAGCCTAGTCCACATGGTGCCTTCCCAAGCTGGCTGGGACTAGGGAGAACCTGTCAAAAAAATAAAAAATAAAAAGGGCACAATGATGTACATATGAGTACTAACTGCATTCTTTTTCACAGAAGAACTCCTGCAAAAATTAAATTATTATCAGCCATTAAAATGATCAAGCAGACCTGGGTATGCTGAAGAGGGAAGGCTAAGGCAATGTCTCACCAAGCATGCAGTTTGTTCACTCAGCCAGGGAGTCTCCTGGCTTCATATCTCTTGGCGTACACGCTTTAACAGAATCCTTCATTTTAAAGAGTCAGGTACACTGTTAGAATTTATGGATTCATGCTGCATGGTTGGCTGGGAAATAGGAGATAGATACAGTCTCTGCATAAGGAAAGGTGTATGGAACTGAAGACTTTCAGGAGAGAAAAGGCTTCCTTGAGTTCCAGGCCAGCAAGACCCCATCTCAAAATAAGTAACTAAAATAAAAATTAAACATGCAAAAACAAATTTTAAAAAGAAAGGTTTCCTTTAGGAAAGTATTTCTGTATATATCACTCAGAATTTTCTAGGTAAAGAAAGAATTTTGTCACTTCAAAAAGGAAGTATCTCCAAGTGATCTAAAAACAAATATTTACCAAGGAGCTGGTTGGGACTGGGGAGATGGTTCAGTAGTTAAGAGCACTTACTTCTCTTGCAGAAGACCCAGGTTCAATTCCCAGCACCCACATGGTGGCTAACAACTGTCTGTAAATCCAGTCCTAGGGGAGCTGACACCCTCTTCTGACCTCTGAGGGCACTGCCTGAATGTTGTATACTTACATGCAGGAAAACACTCAAATACATGAAATAAAAAAACAAATATAAAAATAAAAAGGAATTGGTTTGGAAGGAGGCAAATCATCATCACTAGTCTAGTACTCAAACCCAGGGCCTTACACACACTAGGCAAGCACTATGTTGCTGACCTACATACCCAGCCCCCATCACATTTCCTTAAAAGCCATGGTTACATGCTAACAAGTCATTTTGGTCAACAAGTGATTAAACTACCTAATCCTACAGCTACAGATTGTGTGGTCCTCTTCCCCACAATGATAAGAGGATAAATTGTCTTGAAGGTGAGTGATTTGGGACTTCTAAATGACATCCCTAATAGCCAGAACCTTTCAATAACAAGCATTCATTCTTTTCACTTGACTATTGTCTCCTGCACACGTGCATGTGTGTATCACTGATATCAAACCATCATGCTTACCACAAACTATTTGCTATTCAAAATAAAAGTGCTCTGGGGTTGAATTTTACTTCTATGAACAAACTTGAGAATGTCAGTAAACGGCTGCAAAAATGTACTTAGGAGTGGTTTCCTAAACTCATATGGAACTGAAGATCTGAAGCAGGCTGGTAATGTGCTGTCCAGTGCAGGAAAGTGTTACCTGCTGCCTGGGGCTCCTCCAGAAAGGAATGCTGACCTGCCTGATTCTGGCCATGCAAAGAGATTAAGTTAGATCTAACATTCATGTGAGCCCTGAGTGTGCTTGGACAATCCATCCTTTGTGTGAAACAAGGAAGTTATCCAACATGCACAAGTAACAGCAAAAACAGCACATTTGTAGATATTTACGTTATTTTCATACTTTTGTAAGGAAAAAAAAAGTATGTGGTGAGGAATTTTCTAGAAAAATATTTAGAAAGCAATAGTGATTACTTCTACAAACTAGAAGGGAAGGATTTAAGAATTAGACTTTGAGGATTGTGGTTGTATAACTCAGTGGTATAACAGTGCTCAGGATGCATGAGACCCTGGGTTCAATCCCCAACACCACAGAAAAATAAATTAAAAAACAAAAATTAGCTTCTTTTTTTTTTTTTTTTTGGTATTTTTGAGACAGCCACACACAAGGCACACAATAGCAGTGCTAGCACATGTGCTAGGACAAAGGCTGACTGCTAGAAAGTCTGTGAAAACTGAAATGGGCACATCAGAAACTCCTTCATGGTAAAAGAAAAAGAAGGGTGAAAATACAAATGAAAATCTTCTTCATTGGCCTAAGATAGGCTCAAGTCTCAGCCGCTAATGATAATGCTTCATTTCTAGTGTCCCGGTTTGAATTTTGCAATCACCTATAGAACTTCTTAAACACAAATTGCTGGGCCTGACCCCAGTGTTTCTGATTCAGCAGGTCTGAGATGGGTCCTGAGAACTTGCATTGTGGACAGGTTCTCAAGGGACCCTGAATGCAGCTAGCACAGAGACCACAGACTAAGAAACACTGTATCAAGTATGCTTTGTAAGAATACTACCTATTTAACTCTGAGTAATGTAGAAGTCTCTAGAAGTAGCAGAAAGGGGGAAAAGGGAATTTAACCCAGTGATACTGCAAATGTGGACTATGAATTG